CAGAGAAACCCTGTCTCGAAAAACCAAAAAAAAAAAAAGAATCATAATTAAGAAAATACCTAAGATTGGTACATGGGCAAATCTGTGGAGCATTTTCTTGATTAATGATTGAGGTGGGGAAGGTACCACCCTGGGCAGGTAGGACTGCAGTATGTAAGAAACCAAACTGCAAGCTGGGAAGAGCAAGCCAGTGATCAGTGTTCCTCCATGGCTTCTGTTTCAGTTCCTGCCTCCAGATTCCTGCCCTGTTTGAGTTCCTATTACCTGGAAATGTAAAATGGAATAAATGCATTCCTCCCTGTAGTGGTTTGAATAAGAATGGTCCCCATAGGCTTGTGTATTTGAATGCTTGGTCTCTAATTGGTAGAACTATTCAGGAAGGATTAAGAAGTGTGGCTTTATTGGAGGAGGTGTGTCACTGGGGGGTGGGTGTTGAAGGTTCAAAAGTCCATCTCATTCCCAGTTAGCTCTCTTTGCCTCCTACTTTTTTAAAAAATATACTTTATTTTATGTGCACATTTATCTGTGAGGGTGTTGGGTCCTCTGGAACTGGAGTTATAAACAGTTGTAAGCTGCCATGTGGGTGCTGGAAATTGAACCTGGGTCCTCTGGAATTCCAGAGTAGCCAGTGCTCTTAACCACAGAGACATCTCTCCAGCCCTGCCTCCTACTTTTGAGAAAGGATATAAGCTCCAGCATCATGCCTGCCTGCCTGTCTGCTGCCATGACTCTGACTGTGATGCTTCTGGATTCTAATCCCCTGGAACTGTAAGCCCCAACAAATGCTTTCTTTCATAATTTGCCTTGGTCATGACATTTTGTCATATCAATAGAAAAGTGGCTGAGACACTCCCCAAGCTGCTTTTGGTCAGTGTTTTATCACAACAATAGAAACTTAAAATATTCTATTATAGTTCTTGGTCAAATAAAAATAGAGATTTCATAGACATTAGCTTTCTTTTGGCACCAAAGCCATGCATCTTTTCCTGCTAGTTATGATGAGATTTTGGTGTCTTCATCACAGTGTTCTGGGTTCAATTCCCAGTCAGAGAACCATGGCAAGATTTTAGCCCACCATTTAAGAAGCTTTAACTTACTACTGTATAATCCTTTTTATGTCTTATCAAGAATGAATGCCTTTAACAGCTAGGTGGTGGTGGTGGTGCCCACCTTTAATCCCAGTACCCAGGAGGCAGAAGCAGGGTCTCTGAGTTCAAGGCCAGCCTGGTCTACAGAGTGAATTCTAGGAATCCTTTCCTTTTCTTCTAAGAGCTTAAGATAAAATGAAATGCCTATTAATGGAGAATAAAGATGGGCTCTGATACTAGCCTCAAAAACGTAAAAATTACTTCCTTGAAACACTGAAACCACATTGATAGTGTTAATGGTGGGTGTCTTCCTCAATTGTTTCTCCCTTATTTTTACAGACAGGGTATCTCACTGAACTTGCAATTTACTGATTCAGCTACAGTTGTTAGCTACTAAGCTCTAGGGATCTGTCTTTCTCTATCTCACTAGCACTGGACTACAGACATGCATTGCCATATCCAGCTTTTTACAGGAGGGTTGGGGTCTAAACTCAGGTCCTCAGACGTACATAGCAAGCTCTTTACGAACAACTATTTTCCCAGTCCCAAGAAAGCAACATCTGGGCAGGAGATATAAAGCACCTCATTTGGTAGAATGCTTGCCTAGCATGCATGAAGTCCTGGGTTTGATTCACAGTATTAAGTAGATCAACCATGATGGTGTATATCTATAAATCCAGAAGTCTAAGGCCCATCTAGGATACATGAGACCCTATCTCAAAGGAAAAAACAAAGAAACAAACAATGGTCTGGCATGGTGATGCTCGCCTTTAATCCCAGCACTCAGGAGGCAGAGACAGGAGGATCTCTATGAGTTTGAGCCCAGCCTGGGCTACATGTGAATTCCAGGACAGCCAGGGCTATATAAAGAGACCCTGTCTGAAAAAAGACAAACCCAACTGTTTGTTGCCTGTGAGAAACATACCTAATTGGCAGATTCACACAGGAAGAGTAGAAGTGATGGAGGGAAAGAGAATGGAACAAATGCAAAGCTAAGCACAGCAATAAAAAGTGGCCATCATCAGGTATTGTTTCCTTCTTGCTGAGGTGACAAGGTAGGCAGGTTTCACTTTTTTCTCTTGCTTCTCAATGTTCACAAGGCATGACAAGAGAGTGATGAGTCATTTTCCCTCAGATCTACAGGACAAAGTGTTGTATGGAGCCAGGTTTTGTCTTGTCAGCTGGTGCATGCAAGCTTAGACAATGACCTCTGTGGGTCTGAAATTATACATGTGATCTCTGTATGCAGGACTTGCAATGGGGAGAATATAGGAGCTGCCTTCCAATCATAATGACTCACCCATAGACCACACCCAGCTAGCTGTTTCCTCACACCAGGCATGATCTGCCAGTGCATGTGTGGGAAATTCCCAAGAAGTGGCTGCATTTCTACTAAATGCCTCTGCGGGGCTAAGACTGGGGAAAAAAAAAAAAAAAAAAAAAAACAGTCTAAGAGGGAGCAGACACTGAGTGATCCTCCACACCGTGCCACACTAGTTCCTGTGCCCAGCTGCTACTCATCCATACACGGGTTGTCCAAATTCTTCTCCCAAGATTCCAACCAAAGATCCCAAGTAGAAGTCGCTGTACTTCTCTCTGCAGCACAGCCAGAATTTCTCGTCACATAGGTCTGAGTTTGGAAATCTGGGTCTTAGTCACAGCCAGATTTATATACCCTTACTGCTTCTTAGGGCAGTTACTTAGCTGGTGAAGAGGAATGGCCACTGAGACATGGAGAAATAAATATGCAAATGTCTATGACCCCCATAGCCATCAGGTTTGATAAAGTTGTGGCAGAAGAGTAGAGTGGAACATATAAATCAGTATATAAAAGGGAGCAGTGATAGAAACAACCCAGGGGAAGAAACAGTTTGGAAAGCCCACCCCCAGCTGAAGCTTAAGCATACTTACAAGAAGAGCACACTGTATAAATAATGTATTAAGATCCCGATATGTTGGTTAGCCTCTGATCTTTCTCCCCAGCTAAGGCCCATCTCCCTTCTGGGAAGCACTCTTCTTATTAAACTTTCTCTGCTTGTAAAGCTAGCTACATCCCTGTAGAATTCCTTCCAGGGTGCCCTCTAGGCTCCAATCTTAGCCTACAACTGAGCACAGCCTGTGTTTTCTTCATCTCTGCTTGATGTCAGCAGTGTCCATGAGTATCCCGATAGTCTGGACCACAACACTTCATAAAATAGTTGAACACAGTCATCTAAAGGTGTGTGGATTCTCAGGCATCAAAGGCTGAACAGTGATAGATGTTGTGGTGTTAACTATCATTAGTTGTGCTATAGGATACTGAAAACTATCCAAGCCTCACCTAAGGACAAACATAGGTGATGCCATGGGCTGACACTTCACAGCCATGTGAAGACTTCCCTTGGAACCCAAGATAAATGCAGGAGATGCATGGGATTGTGGCACCATTGGCCAGTTTTGATGTCACAGGATGCCATGGAACCTCCATCAGGTCCTGTAAGATAAGGCTATGGTATGTGACATGGTAATCCCAGAATCTAGGTTTTGAAACACAAAGGGTACCTTCCTTAGGTGTGAGACGAAGTAGGTACTGGGGCATGTAGCATTCTTAACCACTTTTTGTAGGTATGAGACCTAGATGAAGTCTTCTGGAAGTCTTATAGTATAAACCCAAGTAGTGCCCAGGGTTGTTTTGTTTGTTTGTTTGTTTGTTTTTTCAGAATCTCTTAACTCTTATTTGCTCTGAAAATCATCCCTAAGCACTATGGGATATTGAAAGGTAACATTTGGATTTTGAGTCTGGTGTCTAATCTCTTCTAGGAGTAAAATGAGAGACCATCTTACATCCCTTGAGTAGAGGAAAGATGATGCTAGGCCTTAAAACTTTAGCCGGGCGGTGGTGGCGGCGCACGCCTTTAATTCCAGCACTCAGGAGGCAGAGGCAGGCGGATCTGAGTTCGAGGCCAGCCTGGTCTCCAAAGCAAGTTCCAGGAAAGGCGCAAAGCTACACAGAGAAACCCTGTCTCGAAAAAACAAAAAAAAAAACTTTGATATGTGTAATCCTACAGGATGTGGATAGGGATGTTTGTAGATCATATATTGGTAGTTTTGTAGGGACCTAGTCTAAAGCTTTGATAGCCATATTCCCAGGGGTAAAGAGTAAGACCTTCCTACGCCAGGCGGTGGTGGTGCACGCCTTTAATTCCAACACTAGGGAGACAGAGCCAGGTGAATCTCTGTGAGTTCAAGGCCAGCCAACCTGGTCTACAGATCGAGATCCAGGACAGACACCAAAACTACACAGAGAAACCCTGTCTCGAAAAACCTAAAAAAAAAGGGGGGGGGGGGGAGTAGGACTTTCCTTAGTCTGCTGAAGATTTTTTTTTTTTTTTTTTTAATATCCCTCACTGTCATGGAACTCACTGTGTAGACCAGGCTGGCCTCAAACTCAGAGACCCTTCTGTCTCTGTCTCACCAGTTTGGGGATTAAAGGTGTGCACCACCACACCCAGTTGATGCTGAGGATTTTGATAACATCTGGAGTCTCAGGCCATGGATTGCTGATGCTAAATATTGGGGTAACCATGGTAACCATGCTCCTGGAGCAAGAAGTAGCTGGGGATGGGGAGTGGTGTGGGTAACTGAAATACTTTATTCTACACATTGATAAGATTCCAATAGCATAACCAATGTAGTATGCTACTATGTAGTAAAATAGCAGTTACATATATTTTAATTACATACCATATGAACTAGTTATATAATATATACTACTCATGTACAAACTATACGTATCCTACAGATACACATA